CTCACAATAACAATTTAAATACTAATGATAACGATAATTTTGCTACTGTTGACATTTTGCTGATGTAAAAAGAAAAGTAATATGAGGTTAAGACTATGAGATGCTGGTGATTGTACTGTAGAGACGGTAATGACACTGAAACTGATGCTAATTTTGACACTGATGCGGATACGTATGTCGCCTTGTTGCTTGTGAAGATGATGATACAAGAAGAACCAGAAACAGGTGATGCTAAGAGGATAATGACGTGGGGAGATGGATGAAGACGTAATGCGGGCACTGATGTGGTCAGGATGACAATGCTGATGATACTTTTGCGGATACTAATATTGAGGCTGTTGATGATGTTAATGGGGAAATGAAGGAATGATGGCTGATCATAACGCCAGGCACATGTCCTGGCTCCGAGTAAGATAATGTAGTTCTGGTTGGGCACCGAGAAGAGGTCTTTTTGCTCATTCTGCGATCTGGCGGTTGAGAGGAAGAGGCAAATGGAGCATTTTTGCCGAAATGCGTCCGATGGCTGCTTCTCGACTACCAAACAGAAGCAGCCCGTCTCCATGGTGATGCTAGTCAACTTCATTTTCTCCTTCCGCCTGGACCGAAGCAGCGCCTAAACGGGACTCGAATCCTCATTGTTCGTGTCAGATGGCGTTAATCTCACTGCTCTGCCCAGATCTACAGATGCCGATGGGTGAAAAGGAAGATGTTACATTCAAGGCAAATCAAACCTGTCTCGATTTATGTTAATAATGGTACTTGCACATACATGCATCATTACCGACTAATCATGTAGAAATCTACTTACCCCGCTGACAGTAGAATCATCAATTTTACTGCGAAAATACAATGATGTGAGATGTTTATTTAAGGTAATAAGGGGACTTGCGGTGAAATTTCCCCACAATAATTTGTGTTTCCATTCAATTTCACATGGCTTTGCCTTCCAAAAAGGTATTCTCTTCCAGGCAGGACTGGACTGCAGTCTTGTCAACGCTCAGGTCTGCTCAGCACCCACAGCGGGACTCGTACCATGACGGTGCAAAGTATACTCTCTACTCATTTCTCACTGCCCCAGACTGCCAGGAGTAAACTTGGGGGACAGGGTAGATGTGAATTTCAAGAAAGACCAGCCATTTTACCATTAATTATTCGATGAAGCAAAGTTGTATATGCTGTCACTGCGTAAGGTCATCTAATGGTCTTGCCTCACCTCGTAATTTATTAATAATGTAAAAAACTACTTACCCCGTTAATAGTAGTATTATCGAGTTCGATGGTGTTTCCTGTCATGTGATATACTGGTTGTATTTAGAAGTGGCTGGGCTGCCGAATCATGCACACGGCCTGAGTTCGAGTCCCGTTTTCAGCCAGATTGAGTAAATGCAATGAAATTGCGTCGTCTTCTGGTAATTGCAACTTTTTCTTTCACAGCCTAATGTTGTTAGCAGAAAACCTGTCATACTCTATCGTGTCACCGAATAAAAGCTATTGAGATGAAAAGTGAAAAAATCTGCCAGAGGCTCACTTCTGCTGGTCCCTTCATTTGCCGTCTTCACCCCCGGAGCGCCGTCCAACAGGGAACATTCGCAGACACATTCAAAGCCGAAACCATTTCGGAGGCCTTGCTTTGCAGGGATTTCACAAGTTGGCGCAATATTGACAAACAAAAATGCTAATTGAAGTCCTGGAAAGTGAGGAGTGCTTACTTTTTTTGATTAAAGTTTCATTGTAGACCACACATCTCCAGCAGCCACGTTGGAGCAAAAAAATCGCTGTGCTTTCAGGAAGAAGCAAGAAGTCCATTTTTATGAGGGATTAGAAGTTTCTATTTCTTCAATGCGTAGGCTTTGAAAGTATCACTCGATCAAATCAACCGAGGTCTATTAATGCAGCCCAAGGACTGATGGGCAAATTTTCACAATAAAATAGTGGAAGTATGTCCTATGAGATGTATTCACCCTATTTCATTTAAGGTGATGAAGGACGGGTAGAAGAAGAATAAGAATTTTCCCATAATGATGCAAGTTGAGCTGATGTTTCCATTGCATTTCACATAGCCTTGCTTTCCAAAAAGTTGTTCTCATCTTTAAACGAAATTGGGTGAATACATCTCATATTGAGAATTTACCTTATTTTTCGAATTAAATATT